TTGAGGAAGGGCGCCTGCAGGTACTTGGCGGGCGGCGCGGCCAGGTAGCCGTAGCCCGCCGCCTCGGCCGCGGCGCCGAAGAGGCTCTTGCCGGGCTGGAAGTGGCCGGCGGGCGGGCGGAAGGGGCGCTTCATGCGGCGGCGGCGGCGGTAGTTGCCCTTCTCGAACATGTCCTCGCAGGCCGGGTCGAGCGTCCAGTAGTTGCCTTTGCGCTCGCCGCCGCCCTCTCGCGGCACCTTGATGAAGCACTCGTTGAGGCTCAGGTTGTGGCGGATGCTGTTCTGCCAGCCCTTCTTGTTCTTCTCGTAGAAGGGGAACTTGCCGATGATGTACTGGTAGATGCCCGACAGCGTCAGCCGCTTCTCGGCGCTCTCGCGGATGGCCATGGCGATCAGCGCCACGTACGAGTAGGGCGGCTTCTGCGACGGGTCGCCCTTCTCGGCGGCCGCGCCCGTGGCCGCCGGCGTCTTGCTGGAGGCCGGGCTCAGCTCGCCCTTGGCGCCCGCCTCGCCGACGCCGAGGCCGGGATCCTTGCCGGCCTGGTGCAGCAGGGCCACCGCGTCCTCGGGCGGCGGGTCCTGGTAGCTGGTGGCCATCATGGCACCCACCTGCCGCCGCCGCCGCCGCCGCCGCCGGTGCTGAGGCTGCTCCCCTCGGGGGGCTCCGGCGGTGGCTTCAGATGATCAGCAGGTCGCGGCGCTGGCTCTGCCGAGATCGCGCAGCGGACGCTGCTCCAGCGGCTCCTCGCGCCCGCCTGCGCCTGGTGGGCTCCTCGCTCGCTCGCTCGCTCGCTCGCTCTCTCTCTCCCCTCCGCCCGCCTTTTCTGTCTCGCTTTCAAGAGCAGCCAGCCCAGCGTCGCCTCCGAGCAGCAAGCTCAGATATCCACTCACTGCTCCTCTGGACTTGCTCCTTTCTGATTTGTATGGGCTCGGGCGAGTTCCGCTTTCGTCAGGTTCCCTTCTCTCCCCCTCTGTCGTCCCCCCTCCCCAGAAGCCTGGGAGCCAGCTGGGCACGGGCGAGTTCATGGCGAAGTCACTTTGCGCAGGGAGTGCACCCCAGCGCGGAAATCAGATGTTGCAGCCAAAGGGGGTCCCGGAGCAAAGGGAAGTGTGGGGGTGGGAGCAACCGACGGCAAGCCGACGCGCATCAAAATCCTCACAGGAAAGAAGCCGCATCTTTTGCAGAGAGAGCGAGTGCACGAGGCAGCCTAGGAGGAAAACGGAGAAGGCGGCGGCGGCGGGTGCGGGGCTGGGGGGGGATCTGTCCAGCTGCAAGCCGATTATAATTTGCAACCGTGATCTCACCCGGAGAGGTACGGGCTCCTCCGCGCGGAGCGATGGATGATGACTACAGATGGAAGTCAGAAATCATCGCTCCAAAAAGGGCAGCCCTCTGTCTGCGGGAATAATTTCAGGGAAGTCAAGCGAGGCTTCTCTGGAGGAAGGGGGCTGAGCACCTACGAAGCCCGGGGGATCTCATGCATAAAAAGATCACCAGCCATTGCCGCAAAACACCCCTTTAAAGGAAATATGGCCTTTTTATTGTCACCTCTCAGGACAGCATCGCGCTCGCTCCCGGGTCTTAGATTATATGGAAATCAATAAGCAGGGTGGGGGAGTGATATGCAATCTTTTTCTTTGTACAGAGGTAATGAATATATGGAACCAATTTTCATTTAAGATTAATGGAGTTTAATTGGGCACTCCGACCAGTCAACACCTCCAGAAGAAAGGCGAATAATAAAAATAAAAATCTCCCTCGGCGCGATTAACCTGAACACGTGGACCCGTCCTTGCGACCTCAGATTTAGTGATGCCAGATTCTCAAAAGCAAAGCAAAGGCCTCCAGCAATTTACCTGGTTGCTTTCTCTAGACAAAATGTTTAAAAATATGTCACTCAGATAGCTCTGGATTTCACAGACTCCCCCGCAGGTGTGACTAAGAAAGGCGGAGGGGGGGGGGGTGAAAAAGCAGAATTATGGGAGGGCGGAGAAAGAGAAATCCAGCTGCAATGTTTTCTGTACAACTGCTGCAAAAAGTCCTTTCCCCGGGGTTAATTGGGATGTTCACAGCGCCTGGGAAAGTGTCTCCTGCACAAGCTTTCAGCTGTTCCAAGTCCCTGCTGGGAAATCCCAGCGAAGGTGGGCCTCGAGGACTCGATCTCCGCAAGGCGGTGGACAAAATGCCTATTGGCCAAGTGGTGGCTCTCCTGGGCCTTCGGTTCTTGACGCTTCCCCAGAGGAGAAGGGTCATTTCCACGCTGTCTGCATGGTCTATAAATAATCGTCATCTTGATCACGACCGCCACCGGTCATGAGGAGGCTTTTGCTGCTGAAGGGCACATAATTCCACTTATGTCTGTGCATGTGTATGTATATGTGCTGAAGTTGCTACAGGGAAGAGAGTGTACATCGGAATAGACGCTGCGGGTCAGGTCTTGCCTTTCTATTCCTAACAAAAATGCATCATATATTCTGGGCCTGACAGAACTCCCAGATGAAATTATTTCTTGGAATGGACCGAGGTGTGTGGAATCCTATATGTATCCCTGGTAAAGCATGACCATTTTTGTCATGTAATTGTAGGTTTGGGTTTGTTTTGTTTTGTTTATAATGTTCATGCCTTGATGTTAATGGATCCAAACCAGGGTATCTGGCACTGCAATCCCAAACTTGTCCACCCTGAAGCAATTCCCAGTGAATTCACTTTGCTTTACTTCCCAGTAAGTGTGAATGGGATTGCAGCTTAGATTGACTGGAATTTTTGCAGGTTTGATATTAAATGTTAAACAGAATAACAAGCTAAAAATCGGCCATTAAAAGAATTAAGCGCAATAACTGGAAATACAACCAGTGTGGTGCTACTGTCAAATGGAAATTTATGCTCATTGACAGCAAAACAGCATGATATCACAGGGTCTGAACTGCATCTGTATGGTCATTGTTTTTGGTTCTGGGTAGTAATTTATAGGTCTTAAATTTTTGCATTTTTTACACAGAAGGATTGATTTTTCTAAAATGGAAGTATGATGCTTCATTTCCTCACTTGGATGTTTGACATGACACATAGGTGTCCACTCTGCACACTTACCTGGAAGTAAATCTTGCTTACCTCCATGATTAGGCATGGACCACGTGTATGCCATTTGTCAGAATCAGTAAGAACAGTTTTATTCAATTTTGTCGGAGTTAAAAACCTGCGGTGTAGTGGTTAAGAGCGTGGGACTGGGACTCAGACGATCTGGGTTCGAGTCCCCGCTCAGCCATGGAGCCAACTGGGTGACTTTGGGCCAGTCACAGCCTCTCAGCCCAACCTACCCCACAGGGTTGTTGTTGTGGGGATAAGATGGAGGAGGAGAATGATGTAAGCTGCCTTGAGCCCTTTGAGGAAAAAGGCAGGATATAAATTGAAAAATAAATAAAATAAAAAAACGTTGGAAAGTGAGGTAATATAGAGAAACATGCCAGTATCTTCTACCCTCATTCCTAAGTGCATTTATCCCAAAGGTTTATTCATTTCAGTAAAACTGATTTCCAGGAGGTGCGTTGTGGATCGCAGCCTTAAGGAGTGACATGTGAAAATACATGACCTTACATATCACTTCAACACAGAAAGAGTTTTATGAAGCTTTATCCTAAAAATATCATACATGAGCTCATTAAGGGGATTTACATTTAAATAAATATGCCTGGGACTGAAATATCGAAAGAAGACTCGTTTAAGAATACAGCACTGTTTGCATGCTATATATACACAGCTCTGGCAGACAAATCGCATTATATTTTTCTGTCTGTCTTTGCGCTGCCTTTTGAACTGCATTTGTGTTGAGTAAGCTGATAGCCTTTTCACACCCTAGGTCGAAAATTGACAGGAGGTTTTTTCTAATAGAATGAGACTTCCCTTTCCTCCTAATACGTATTTACAAAGCCGCGAGTCGGATTTTCGACTAACAGTTCTCGAGGCGAAGCAGTTAACAGAGACAACAAATATATTCTGATGAATGCGGAAAGCAGATTGCTTTTGTTTATAATCGGGGTGCGCTAAGAGGCTCAGTTCTGCTGCTGGAGTCAATGGAAGCCTCCTCCGGTTGGCGCGGCTCTCGGGTCTCTAACGCTGCCTCCTCGGCGGAGATCGGGACCTGCTTGAACTCCCCAGCGGGTCGCGCCAGAGGAGCGGGTCCTGGTGGCGGGGCTGTCCTGCTTCAGCTTCAATGCGCCAAGTGGGGACTCGCCCACATGGGTGTGCAGGCGAAGGCATCCGAGGGAGGCCCGGCGGCTCGCTGTCCTACCCACCCTTCCCGGGAGGCCGCGTCCCCCCGAATTCAGCGGGTCTTCCTCCCGAGGAAGGGTCGCCCGGCCCGTCGGGAGCAACCCTGCAGAAAGCCAGCCGCCAGCGCGGCTCGCAGCCTCGACGTCACGGACCCTCTGCTAATCCCGAGGGGTCTCCGGCGACTGCCTCGGCCTGGACGCGAAGGTGCCAGCGGCTGGCGGCCCCGGCGGAAGGCGAGCCGGCCGCCTGCTGGGGCTCGGAGTCGCCGCTCCTTTGAGGCCGGCGGTGGCGTTAGCGCGGCCGGGCCGGTTCCTTCCTGCGACCACCCAGGCTGCCCGGGCTGCCCGCTCCCTTGCTGGCCCTCGCAGGCATTTCCTTCCGCAGGTGCAGCGGCAGCATCGTGGGACGTGTCATCACCTCCTCCGCCCGGCTCGGACTCCTCTCCCTTCCCGAGCCTGGAAGGGCAGCGGCGGCGCCCGCGCCGGGAGCCACGGAGGACGCCGGCGCGCAAGGGACGGGCCAAGCCTCTGTCCGCCCCGCACTCGCCGCTCCGCCAGGCTTGGACGGGACAGCAGGAAGGGCAGGGGCGCCGGGTCCTCTCCGCCTGCCGCGCCGTGCCTGGCGGGGTGGCCTTGCAGCAGGCGGCTATTCTGCGCGGGCACATGCGCCGCTCCCCGCACCCCGCACCCCCCGCGGCTGCTCAGAGCATGCCTGGCAATTCTCCCCGAAGAGCTTGATCCTGAGAGCGAGCGAGCAAAATCCGGGCGCATCTGGCTCGCCTTTCCAGAAGCAGTGCAGCTCTGGCTTGCCCGCATCTAACGGCAATGAAGCGGCCACGCTCGCCACGCTGTCCGGTGAGCGAGGAGCGCCACGCACGGCGGGCGGAGGCCCGGGGCTGCTGCCTTCGTCACGGCCCGGTCCGTCGGAAGCAAGAGCCCTTCAGCGCTTCGCATCACGGACTTGCCGCGTTGCTTTCACTGGGACTCAAGGGCCGGCAACTTGCCCCGTGACAGCAGAGCGTGTATGCGTGCATCTGAAGTAGACTGATTCATAAATCAACCCTCCCGTCTGGAGGGGAAGATGCCATTCTCTCCCCGCTCACAGCTCTTATACCTGTAACGTGCAGGAAGGGGGCCGAGACAACTTTCTTTTGTCCTTTTCTTTTTTTGGTACTGATTTCGCTGCTCCTCCTTTCCCCCAGTGCACTGTGATACCCCTTGCGAACTCGACGTCACAGTCAATGCACAGACACGAAGGTTTCTTTGGTCAGCCTCCGGAGGATGCAGTCCTTGAATTCAGACGTGCGGGATTCAAGATCAGAGCACGT